TCAATTCGATTTAAAAAATCAACAAAGAGTTATAAACGATAAGAAAAGCAAGGGACAATTATGTTTTTCATTATTATTCTCGAGATAATGTTTCGTCTTTTATACATATCGTTTCTTTCTTATTCTCTTTTCTTTTTTCTTCTTTGATCTGCTACCTAGTAGTGATATTTCCCGATGAATATATAAATGTGTGTTTCTTAGTGCATGGCGTGCGTATTATAAAGAAAAAGAAAAAAAAAGCTAATTTTAACAGTAACCTTAGTTGGACAAATTTCTTTGATAACACTCACTTTTGAAGAACACAACAAAGTAAAACAAGATATAATATATGAGATGTACACGTCGAAAGAATAATACGCTGGATTCGAATGTTAAAAGAATCAAAAGAAAATTAGTTATACTAATTGCTCTCTACTAAAAAACAAATTTTAGAATCTATACTTCAAGATCATACTATGATTCGTACAAAAAAATTTCCCTAATTTTCCTCAGGAATTTTCCTGCAGCCAATAATTTTCTAAAATTTTTACTGCAGTCAATAATTTTTCAAAAATTTCCCCCAACACAAAAAGTTTCCCCGCACGCGTGTGCGCGCAGACGGGCAGATTCTGCACGTCTGCCCACACCCCACATCCACACCCACACCCACACCCTCGGTGAGTCTTGATTTGATTATCTTCTTATAGGCATGAAGTTGCACATCTTCCTTCAATATTCCATGTGTACTTGATTTGAACATGTCGTATTCTTTAGCTAAAATTCGAACGAATACCACATTCTTTTGATAGAGTTTGTGCTTGACTTTTTGAATCATTTTACTAGTCCGATAAAGATGTGGTATATCCGACGATGTTGATAGCTGAATAGAACCGGTGTCATGAATCATCTTACATCATCTTTTGATGGTATCGAGTCCAAAGAAACTGTTAAAATCACGAAAGGCGACTATCATTTTTGTCTAGCGATAAAGCTAATCCTATATGTCTATTTTATTATCAATAAAATCCATGGTATATAGTCAAGATATTAGTAATAATTAACACTCTCGGATATAGTGAACCCATGTCGTTGCGCTAATTTGACTTTATTCAGTTCTCCGATTATTAAAACTTTCAGAACAGACTTGTCGGCTTGTGTAAACGTTCTACTAAAATTTTCAAATGAATTAGTCAAAGTCATCGTGGAAAAAGTTGATCTTACTAAAAAGTAGCATTTACTCTTCAATAGACATTCTTAATGAAAAGAAAATATCTCAATTAAATGATTTCTAATGAAATTCTGACTAGAGATAGTTACGACAGTGACCTTTCAGATGATGGATTCAACAAAAATATTTGTACTAACATGGTTGACATAAGAGGATGTCTGAATCATAACTCCAATACATATAAACTAATGCACGAAGACGTGATGCTTGCGATGAGGGTTTATTGTCATATATATGCACCCAAAATATCATCTCAATATCATAAAGAATAGTTGCACTTAATGAAGCGACGCAGCAAAGTCTATACGTTCTCATTAAATATCAGCTATTGAAAAACGAATCAAATTGCAAGTAAGATAAACAAAGAAAGGAAATTCAAATGAGGTACATTATACTTTAAATAAAATCACTTTGCATTTTATTTATTTCGTTTCTCTATTTCCGAATCAATGATTTCTCAATAACAAAAAAATCGTTTTCTTTTTTATTTAAATAATTATCATATAAAAAAAATTGCACACTAGAACAACCAAAAAAAAAAAATCATTGCTACAATTAAATTTTGTTTTGTTTTCTTTTATTCATCAGCTCGATTTCCACGATTAAATATTTTAAATACATTTTTTAATGGATTATCATCATAATCTTGTATTTTTTCTTTTGCTAAACGAATTTTTGTTAAATTTGTTTCATTTAATTGACATCTTCCTTCAATAAAATGTAATGCTTCAAGTGATTTTAATTTTATTGCTGAATTAATTGCTTCATCAGCCATTCTTTAGAGAACAAAAACAAGTCAACAAATAAATTTAAAACGAAAGAAGACAAAAAAAAAACAACATACTGAACTTTGGCATACATAAATGGAAGACGATCATCATCAAGTTTTGATGAATATATAGATCGATCAACAAAACGACGAGCTTCATCAAGTCTGTTAGATCGAACACATACATCAATAAATGGCTAGAAAATATAAATATATCTTTTGATGGTTTTTTTTTTGTTTTTGAAATGAATATTATTTTACTTCATATCCAATAGGTGATGTTGGTTTTTTTCCAAATTCAAGTAATTGTGTCCAAGCATGTTTTTTTGCATATGCTTGAATTTTAATCCACCAATATCTTTTATCACTAACACTAAAATCTTTTCTTAATATATCTGCATCTTTTTCAAAATTAATTAATAACATTTCAAGTGTATCAACTAATGATAAACCTTTTAATTGTACATTGTATAATTTTTTTTCAAGTTCATCTTGTTTAACTATTAAACGAGCTTCATCATCAACTAACTTTTTTTTTATTTACAAAAAAAAAATAAATAAATAAAAATTTTTCTTTTTTTTTTCTTTGAGAAATTTCATTTACTTGAGCAACTGTTTCATTTTTAGCTTCACGAAATAATTTTGCTGCACTTGTTAATTCGACTTTTTGATCCGATGTTGTCTATTTAAAAAAGAAAACATATATATGGGTAAAATCAGCGAAAACGGGACATTCACCCGTTGTATTTGAATGCAATTCTCTATCAGTATAGGTGTTTTGAGTGAATTATTTTTCCATAGGCTTATGTAAAATTGTCTGCTCTTTCATATGATTATTAATCAGTTAATTAATTAATTAATAATTAACTAATTAAGAAGTAATTAGCGAATATCTCGAGAACCAAATGAGGAAAAAACTTGAAAACTTCAGGATTGGCTCTAGGGTATGAGCCGCATATATGGTAAAATTTTCATCGAGATCGGACTTCAAAAAGTTCCTTCCAAAAAATCGACCTTTCAGAGCCCTTAGACAGAGCGGAAATGAAAACGTTTGTCTTAGTATTATTCTAGGACCTCCTTCCATTAATATGAGCCCCTTGGAATCGATTTCGAACTTTTCAGTTCGTTACCAGAGCATTTGATCGGTAGTGCAGTCGTACTCAGTCACGTCGCTAACGAAGTTGTCACGTCGCTAACGCCAAATAGATTTTATTTTTTGAAAAACCTAGACATGCTCAAAATAATTTTACACTGGGATTTGGTGGCCTTAGGAGTGGTGCATAGTATCGCGTATTAAGTTTTTGGCAATTATGCAACACTTAGAAATTTTTAAAAACCAAAGTATATCAAGTGACTTTTGATGTCCTTTTTGGTGTCACGTCGCTAACGCTAGTTTTTCGTTAATAACTCCTCTGAACAAAGCTCTACAGTGTTGTTTTTTTTCATAGTATCTAGAGTAAATAAAGACTCGTACAACATTCAAAAATCACACCTAAACCAGTTGATAGTGCCGAGATATGCATATTCTAAGTTTGCGATGTCACGTCGCTAACGAATGATTTTACCCATATATATAATGGAATTTTTAAAGAACCTTGCTCAATATGGTGATCTATCTTGAACGAAGATGCAATTCTGTAGCGTAATTTATGGAAGATCGAATACTATATAAGAAATTAAGTTTTTACCTGTTGAGAATTCATATAGTGGTTATAATCCTTGAAAAATATATATAGACATTATAGTCCCTAAAATGTTATAAGATAAACTTATGTAAATTTTGTTTCTAAATTCACTTCGATTTTCTATAATCAATAGTTTTCATCGTTGTTTTTAATGTCTTGCAACCGAACCGGATATCTGGCACATAGGAAAATCAGTTCGATCATGATTGAGCAATCTATTGTACTTGAGAACAGATATATAATGAAGTAATTGAATACATGGAGAGGAAAATGAACTATCAAAACGGTGAATATGTGTCATCTTGATGAAAAAAAGGCGTTCATGTAGGTATTTACAAATATGACGTTTAGCACCAATACTGCGTTGTATTCTAGTGTCATCAGTAACAAGCAAATGTAGATTTAGCGAAATTGAAACAAAAAGACACTAAATGAATCCTGAATTATTTGCTTTTTCTGTAGAATTTAAGATAATCTCTTCTTTTTATTGTTCATTTACGAGAGAAACGAAACAGTGTATTTTTTCATATAAAACAAAAGTTTGTAAACTTGTAGAACGCTAGATGCGTTCTTCATACTTAAAACTGGTGCCTTTTTTTTAGGTGTAGATTATTTCCTGACTACTTCATATTCTAGTGTATTTAACGTAAAACTTTCTCAAATATCGCATACTATCGAGCTCTATCTGTTTCACATATAACATCTGTATATTGACAATAGAGTAATCATCCTCAATGACGTTATTAAAAATTTTTTATCTATCAATAATCAGCACAGCATCACTGCTGATAAACTCATATAAATAAATATTTTATAGATGCAAAAAATTTTCTTGTCCAGACTCCTGGAGAAGAGTTCAGGTATAAGGTTAGGCGAAAAAATTTATTTTTTGCATTTATAAAGGATTCATTTAAATCAGTGCATCAGAAATGCAGTGCTAATTATTGATACATAAAAATTTTTAATAGCATTATTAAATATTGTTAAACTATCGTCAATATATAGATGTTATACGTGAGATAGATAGAGCTTGATGTGTAGCACAGAATTGAACATACTATTATATCAAGTAGTAAAGTAATAACCTAGACTTAACGATGAAAACTATTGATTATAGAACATCGAAGAACACTTCTATGTGTATCGAAGTGAATTTAGGAATAAAATTTACATAAGTTTATCTTATCTGTGAATATCATATATACTTTTCAAGGATTATAATCGACGTATGGACTCTCAGCAGGTAAAAACTTGATTTTTTGATATAACATTCGATGTGCTATAATTCACACTACAAATGATATCTTTGTTCAAGATGTATGACCAAATCCGACAAGATTCTTTGATATGACTTACAAGTGCAGTTGTAAATCGTTGAATAATATGTGAATAAGCAATACGTTCTCGTTCATCAGGATTTCGTTTAATTAATTCAGTATGAAAATTATTTCGTTCAAGTTCTTCCAAACACTATAAAGAAAAAATAATTTAGACATGCTGGAAATATAAGAAATCTCTGCTTAGAAGATAATCCGGTTTTTGAATTAAGGTTGATACTAAGATCTACTTTTGAATTCAGCATTAAACTCAATTGTCAATGCAATTCAAAAAAAGGTTAAACTATATTTCTTTTTTATATTCAATTAAAATCTCGTCTTTATTGAAAAGAAGTTTATTTTAATTAATTCTTACTTGTAAATGTAATTTTAATGGTAATGATTTCAATCGTTGTAATCGAAGCATATAATCACTTAAAGGTTCACTTGATTTAATACGCATAAGAACAAAAAGAGCTAGAAAAAAAA